TATTTTAATTTTCTCAAATAAGTCATTGTAAATTTAGTTAATTGCTATTGTATTATGTTTTCTACTGAAATATTGTATTATACTTTGTCTGCATTATTATTCTATAATGTATTGTATTTTGTTATTTACATTCTGTATATTGTGATTCTCTGCTTTATAATATTTTAATGCATATGTTTTCTGTATCATACAACTTATTTTATCCCCATTTTTTGTATATACTACAAATGTAATGTTACTGTAGCCTCTAATGTTAATGATCTGTAATAATGCCAATATGTTCTTGTCTGCACCAGGTTATATGTATATGACACCAAATATGTACTGTAACTCAGTATTTTATTAATAAAATGAATCTGAATCTGGCGATGAGACATGGGTGTTTCACTTCACCCCAGAGACCAAGTGCCAATCACTTGAGTGACATCATCCCTCATCACCCAAAAAACTGCAAAAATTCAAACAAACTCTATCAGCACGAAAACTCATGGCAAAGATTTTTTGGGATCGTAATGGTGTTCTCTTGGTGGATTTCATGCCAAAAGGCACTACAATCAATGCAGATCGATATTGTGACACCCTAAGAAAACTATGGCAAGCAATCCAAAATCATAGGCGTGGAATGCTTTCTCGCAGTATTGTGATTTTTTACGATAATGCCTGCTCTCACACTGCTGCTGCTGCAACCACAGGCTTGCTGGATCAATTTGGATGGGAAATTTTTGATCATCCACCCTATAGTCCGGACCTTGCTCCTTGTGATTTTAGCCTTTTCTTGAAGCTCAGAGTTCCTGGGCAGGAAATGTTTTGGAAGTGATGACGAGGTGAAGAATGCAGTAAACAACTGGCTTAATGGACTGACGGTAGCCTACTATGACAGGCATTCTAAAGCTCATGGACAGATATGACAAATGCTTAAATAATGACAGTGATTATGTAGAGAAATAAAGTAAACTTGAATTTTGTAAGTGACACATTTTTGTTAATAAAATATATTTATTTCATTTATAAAAATCAAATGGGTTGTTACTTTCTGAATGACCCTCGTAGATTACAGAGTAAAATTAAGCAAATTCTATAAAAAAATGAGAATATTTAATAAGTAAAGTTTGGACAAAAATGTCTTAACACAAAGATTAATATATATTCATTTTCCTCATTATCATGTATTTTAAAACTTGACTTTTTAACTGTATTATTTGATGCAAACTTTTTACTGTATTTGATATTTATTTGTCATAGGATACATACTGTGTGTGGCGGGCGAATAATTGTAACTAGCGCTACATCTGAAAATATTAATAATTGTAACTAGCGCTACCAGGTGGCGCTGGCGCGACGGTTATATAAACATGTGCAGGCCATCCGCCATATTCTTTTTTCCGACTTGTCAACTACTCTGTGGATGCGTGTTACTCTCATGTACCAACATGTGGATTCTAACCAACCGTACGGATAGTGCAGAACGAGATTACTATGTACATTATGTGAATAAAGCGAATGGTGAGATATATGACTACAGGTTCTATATATATTCTCAGCGAACACATAATCAGGTGGTGCGATGAACGCCACACTGTGCAATTATTAAATTAGCTTTGTTACAACAGTGAACCCAATAAATAATTTGACAGTTCATTTGGCATTACTAATTGAATCAGGTTTATCTAAATATATAAAATTACTTGTCCTGACTGACTGACTGATTGATTCATCATCGCCCAGAGCAAACTCTGAACCTAAAGAGGTGAAATTTGGTACACAGGGTGCATCATGAAAATGCACACTAAGAAGGGATTTTTGGAAATTTTCCCCATGGGGGAGAGGAGAGGATTAAGGCTTAACCTGAAGAATGGCTTCTACTGTACTATTTTAGATGCAATTTTTTTTGTTTTCAGCTATGCTTAGTCTTCATTGAGTATTTAGGTGTATTAAATTGATAACATTTTAGACATTGTTATAAATATTTTTGTATATTTCAATTTTTTAACCAAATGTTCAAACCATTTTAAATTTGAATTTGTTATCACATATTGGTTTGATTATAGAACGATTGTAAACATTATAGAAAATTGATCAAATTGAAAATAGTTTGTTTGATTCTCAGCAATTCTCATCATTCTCAGCAGTAGGTGTTACATAACAATTACTATGGTTGTTTAAATACTGAATATAAATGGTGTTTGCTTGCAAAATTTTTGCGGGTGAAGTCATGAGTAATGGCTATTATATATATATATATATATATATATATATATATATATACACACACACACACACACACACCATGCTGGGACATAAGCATAAGTCATCTGAGAGCCATGGAGGTTCTCAGTCAGTGCTGTGAGTGACTGGCGTGGTTATATGGTTATATCTAAATTAATTTTAGTTAATAGCTCTAGAAACAAAGATTGGACAGGACTGGGTAGCATAACTGACAATGCATCTACATAGCAAGCAGAAGTTTTGGGTTCATTCTCCATTTTAGACCAATCGAAAAGATTGGTCCAAGATTCTAAAAGAAAATTTTAGAATAATCAAAAAACAACGTACAATGAACCTGTTTCCGGTGTGCTTCTCTGTAAACGAAGTATTACTAGCGCTTTTAAAAGCGCTAGTAATACTTCGTTTACAGAGAAGCACACCGGAAACAGGTTCATTGTACGTTGTTTTTTTGATTATTCTATCCCGGTGTAGTGCAGTGCCGATTTAATTAAATTTTAGAATATTTTAAATTTAAATTAAAAATTAAATTTATTATTAGATGGTGGCTTAATCACCTACCTTTAGTCAAATTGCTTTAAATTTAATTATTAAATTAGCATAAATATTTTAAATATGATAGCCAGACCTTTGACTTTCTAGAATAAATATAAAATTAGCCTTGTTACAACTTGATAAATAATCTGATCTGTTACAGCTTTTCTGTTATCTGCTTTTCACCTATAAAAACGATACACTTCAGTTAGTAGCCAGTATGCAGCTGCCTACAAACAGTACTGTCTATTTGAACCAGTCGAAAAGTTTTGTTTAAAATTGGTTTTAGCAGCTGTGGAATTTTTGCCAAATGTGCATGTGATCATTTCACTTTCTTGTATGCTGTTAAAAGATTTGTTGAAATCAGGTCTCTGAAAGACAAAAAGAAAAAGTTACTGAGACTATCTACTGAATGTGATGATTGAATGTTAGTTTGCCATTCTTTAATATTGAGATTTAAAACATCAATGGATTTGAGAAAGGTCTGGCAGGAAGAAATGTATTGATGCTTATATGAGTATTTTGTATTGTAGACTACAAAAAGGCCTGAATAGATAAAAGGCTACAAGAAAATACCACCTGAATGAACAGCAGTATCTCAGAAGACTTGCTTGGATAAAGGCACAAAAAAACGGTATTGTTGAAGAATGGAAAAATGTAATTTTCAGTGATGAAGCAACTGCATAAATATTTCTGTTCCTAAAGGAAATAATTACGTATGTTGCTGGATTGATAAAAGATGGTAATGGTATAGGACACAACATTATCCTGTATTTGTCGGTGGTTGTTGACTGTCTGAAAATTGTTGCTGGTACAATGAATGTATGTTTTGGAATATGTGGATGTTTTGGAATTCCAAATGTTTTCACCTGCACAAGACATGGGTTTATAAAATTTTATCTTCCAGGATGATAATGCTCCTTGTCATTGGTTAAAGTTGACAACATATTGGTTTATATGAAAGGAAATAAAAATATTTTAGTGGCCTTTGCAGTCATCAGACATTAATCTTACTGAAAGTCTTTGGGTGAATTTTAAAATAAAAGATCCATCAACAAAACACATTTAAAAGAGCAATTGATTGAGGCTATAATTGCCATATGTCATTATAATGGAAATAATGCTGTTAGCAAGCTTCTGAGTTGCAGAAATTCATTAATAATAATAAAAATAATGATTATCAATTAATACTGCACTACAATAAGAATATGACTACTTATAGATAAATGCTTCATGAAACTTTATCAGAATAGCTTTAAGCTAGGTACGAATTCTGTAGTCTTCATATCATTTTGATGCAGAGTGTGGTAGCATTTTAAGTATTATGCTTGATTTTCAGATTACTGGTACAGAAGTTTTGACCACTACTGTAAACCTTTTAATTAATACAAAGATTATTTATTAATTATATTCCTAATAATAATCAATTCTTGTATACAAATTAATATTTTGTAAAATGAATGCTGAATATGTTTATATGAAAATTTAAAAGTTGAATTTATTTTCTTTATGAACTCACTAGCAGACCCCGCCACGTGTTGTTGTGGCTCAAAATGTATCTATTATAAATTTATAACACTTCCCCGTGGGGGGGAATTTTTCGAAAAATTTCTTCTTAGTGTACATTCTGTTGACGTACCCTATTAAAACGCAATGAAAAACGCAAAAAACCGCATCTAAAATAGTATAAATAGAAGCAGAGTTCTTTACGGTAAGCCTTAATCCTAACCATCTCCCTTCAGTGGGGGGAATTTCGACACGTATATTATATAAAAACATGTGCGTATTCGAATGCAGCATTGTGTCAAAATTTCAAAGAAATTGGTAGGAACAAACGAACATTACATTTTTATTTATATAGATAGATAGAAGATGATCTGCTTTAGTTCATTTTCACAGAAAAGCATAATGCCTCACAGAAAAGCAAACTTAGGGCGTCGTACTCGTAGCGCCATCTGTTGGACATAAAAGCCTTAACCTAGATTATATATTTTAATTTATATGAATGTTTAACGGAATAATATACAGCCTATGTCCACCCTGAGGTTCCATTCTAAATATTGGTGAAAGAATTTTTGAAATCGGATGAGTAGTTTCGGAGATTACATGCTGCAAACAAACTTACATACATACTTACAAACATTACCTCTTTATAATATTAGTATAGATAAAGAAAACATTAATAGAAATATTAATATTAAATATTAAACATTAATAGAAATATTTAATTAATATATTTTTAGGAACCAAATTAGAATTCCATGATGGTGTAAATGATAATCACTCTTGTACATTCCGAACAAAACTGCACGAAAATCATTCCAGAACAGTCAATAATTTGCTTAAGGAGTTGCGAGATGCTGTCGAAATTTATATGGGAAATGATGCTAATGACAATAGAGCTATGAAAGAAGAAATTGATCCAGACACCAGATATTTCTTATTACGCTGGCTACAACATTCACTACCTCCTGAATATACAAAACAGGTAAAAATTTATATAGACGTAAGGAATGATTAAGTTCTATAAGATTATTAATATAAATTTAAAAATTTTATTCTTCAATTTTGCAAGTTTTTGTTTTGATTCCAAAAGTAATTTATTTGTTATTTTGAAATAACTGGCTAAAGTTTATAAGCATGTAAACATATAAATAAAGTAAACCATTATATATTTTTTAAAAATTTTCTTGAATTACAAGAAATAAAATTATGCATCAGTAAAATTTATTTTACATTTGTTGTCTTTTTTATGTAAAATTATCTTTATACAAATAATAATGTTATGTAATTTCAAACAAGATCTTTACATAGTCTGCCATGAAAAACCAATGAAGTAATAATGATTCTAATTTATCTTACAAGAGTGAATATTAGTTATTAATCAAATTCATATCTTAATTATTAAAATTTACTAATTAAATTAATTTTTTACTAAGTAATTATAATATTTATTTATTGGTAGTAATGGAATATTAATTAATTTATCATTTAATAATATTATTAACAAAAATTATTGTAAAAGTATGAGCCTCCAATAAATATTTTAATTAATGTAATTAATACATCATTTGAGACTAATCTCATAAAGTTTTATAGTGTTAAAATTGATTTGTAAAAGTTTTATTATTGTGTTATTTACAGACTATATACAAAATAATTAATCAAAAATTGCATAAAAATTCTGTTAGATACATGAATGTGAGGATTTTATTTTTTAGAACAAATACTACAGAGAGTTTATAGTCAGGAAAAAATTAGTTTTCTAGACTTCTGTTAAAATTTTTATCTGTAGAAGTTGAAAATTAATTATTGAAAGTTAAGAAAGATTTTTACTTTCCCAGCTGTTATATGTAACAGAGGGAAAGAAAGCATAGTGATTAATCAAAAAATGACCCCAAGATTTTTTATTTTTGGACTTTGGACTTTGAAATGTTGAGAAATGCAAAAAAATTTTGGGTTTTTCTGTATGTATGTATATTTTGATGTGTGTGTGGAGGGGATAATTTTGTTTTCCCACCTTGAAGCTTAATAACTCCTGTGCTTTTTGTCAAATATTTTTGAAATTTTGCAGGAAGATTTGCATTTTATGGGATTGATGCTATTAAATTTTGATGGCTAAAGGTTAAGAGGATGGAGAAATAGAGGGGAGTCATGTATCATATCTTGAGTGGGTTGGACTTAATGAAGATTTTACTCATTATTATCATTTACAAGTTTTTATGAAACTCATTTCTACCTTCAAAATCAAGCTTTCTGCCTTTTTATAATAATTATTAATAGTATAAAAACTTTTTAATAAAATTTCATAACAGATGATGCCACACAATTTTTAACTCTTGCTGGGAAAGTTCTGTAACTCACTGGCTTTTTTACTGACATTTAATAATCATTCCAGTCTAGGAGGTTTCACTATATTTTTCTTGATCTGTTGTTTGTACAGTTTGTTTTTATATATTTTTTTTAATTGTTATTTCTATTATAGTTGAACATCTTTAATACTATGCTTTCAAGATATGATCTAAGTGAGATTGTGAAGTTTCTAGATGACAGATTTGCAATAATTTTTTTAAGTTTATTGGTATTTTCAATTAAATAGCCACTATTTTAAATGTAAATTTAGATAACAGTATGTAAGAAATAATTCAGAAATATGTTCAGAAATGTGCAAATGTAAATATTTAATATAATATCAAAATTTAATTACTGTATTTTTAATAAATAAAAATGGTGTGGTGATGATTGTTACTTCTTTTTTTCCATTAAGCATTTGTATAATTTTTGCATTTGTTCTTTCAGAATTTACAAACTAAATTATTACAGTAAAAAATTATTATAACCCAACAATTAATGTTTCAACTAGCTTCAAAATGATAAACTAGTATTAACTAGTTTGAACAAAAATGAATATTATAAATATTAAAGTTTTTAGGATTAATATATGATATCGATACATCTTAAAATGTATTTAGCTGAAAGTCGTCAAAAAAAAATACAATTTTGAAATAAGTCTTGAATTTACTATCCACTGCTTACTCAGCAAATAAATAATTGCATCAAAACATCTGAATTTTTTGCTGATTTGAATTTAAAATTTGCTTCAGAAAGAACCAATTTGTTTAAAACATAGTTATATTCAAGTTTTATATTGATAGAAATATACACATGTCAAAAACTTAAAGGATGAACACCCAAGTCACTTGGTAACAAGCTGCCAAAACACTGAGAGTTCTGTATTGCAGTTCAAGGTGAACATATTCCATGCTGACAGGTTTCTCTGCCTAAGTATTGATATGCACTTTGTCCATTCTCCACCTATATCCAATTGCTGTATGTATTTTTTTTTTTACCAAGACTTACTTTTATTGCTTTGATTTGTAAAATCTTACAAGTTGTTGTGTATTACCCTGTGTTAGACTCAAATGATGTATCATTTGAGTCTAACACAGAGTTCTTTCCGTATTTGTCTGTATTCACCTACAATTCCTTTTATTCATGTACAAATGGCTTGAATAACACCTTAAATACTCTTTTCAGCAAGACTTTAATTTACAGTGGTGCCTCGTATAACGTATGCCTCGAATAAGGGAAGCTGCGAACAATGGACTTTCTGTTTGGCCAATACATGACTTGAGCAATGGACTGGATGTGAACAACGGACTTTTCGTTTAGTAGTTAAGTGAGGTGAACAACGGACTTTCTGTGAATTTCCACTCTTTTGCCATTGCCAATGACAATCTGCTATTTTTATAATATATTAGTATTATTAGAATATATTATTAGTATATCTGAAGTACAGAGCTCCCATTGGGATTCGGCTTGCTCCCTTGTTTATTACGTACATCACCTCAGTGCAGGGTATTTACATTTATTCAAGTGTTGTGCAAATCGTGGCTTCTAAAAAAACAAAGGTTATTTCAATTGAAACAAAGCAAGAAATCATCAGAAGGAGTGAAAGTTGACAAAAACTTCCTTGTCAAATGGGGAGATGTTCAACAGTTTACCAACACTCATTATCCAAACAAAGCTGAGGCCAACAGGATCAATGATCTCTACAATGACACCCTTGCCTGTCATTTCCGACAAGTGTTGAAGAAGAGAGAGAAACAGACCACCTTGGACATGTTTTTCAAGAAACCAGCTGCCAAAAAACAAAGGATGGAACAAGAGGAGTTGACCCTGCAAGCTCCGATAGCCTCTCCTGAATCTGGCTCTGATTAAAAAACAATAAAAAGAGATCTGCTGTAATGTGTAAAAAAGTCTGTATCTGTATGAGTGTGTGAAGAAAGTGTTCCTCCACCTCCTTCTCACAACATCTGACTACCTGGCATAATTGGTGACTGCTCCATTTTCATTTTTTTATGGTACAGTACGGTTATTTTATGCTGTGGAACGAATTATATGTTTTAACATGTATTTCTTTGGGAAAATACATTTCGTATAACAGACTTTTCACTTAACGGATGTGCACCTGGAACAGATTAAGTATGTTATATGAGGCACCACTGTATTTAAATATTTTTGACCACTTTTCATATGTCTGTGTCATATTTAAGAAAATGTTTGATTTCTAATTGTGAATTGTATTACGCAGCAGTTAAAGGTTCAAATAAGTTGAGTATTGTATTATACACCCCACTGTGCAGTCTGGATTTATATTAGAGGTGTTTTTTATGAACAAATGTCTGTCCTTAAGTTTTTGAGACATGTTTAGTTAGACTATCCAATCAACAAATAACATGTTTTAACAACATTGCTAACATACAACAATAGGATTGCATACTAAATCATGTAACAATGTTACAAAGCATGAATGTTTCTGGTGTTGCTTTAAAATGATCCAAAATTTGTTTTTTCAAATTCAAGAAAAATTTAATGGTCTGCATACTGTTGTGCTCAATTGAGAAATAGTGCTGAATACCTGTATAAGTATTATTTAAATTGAGGTATGTATTTTTTAATATAGTATTCCTGAAACATCAATGACAATGGCTGGAGCCGTATTCTGGTCACTTTCTCTGGTCTCTCGTCTCTCGCAAGCCGGTCGCTGATTGGCTAATCCAAATTATTAGCCAATCAGCGACCGGCTTGCGAGAGACGAGAGACAGTGACCAGAATATGGCCCCTGATCCTTTATCTATTATGATTCCTTAATTTTATTACATAAATTACTATAGTTCAATGATTTGTGGTTGAATGTCTTTAGTGAATAAGTTTTGTTTTTAGAATAGTTGCATTTATGTAACTACTTTGCTCCTTAACAGTTTATAGTAATGGATTCTTTGTTCATTAAATTATTATATTATTGAAATTGTATTTGGTATCTAATACAATGTCTAATGGCTGTTCCACCCTCTCAAATATTTTTACAAAGAATTGTTTTAAATTACAAAAAAATTATTTAGAGCTAAAGAAAAATTATAATTTCATGTATTCCTAAATATTCATAAATTGAAAATAATTAAAGAATGTTATTAAATAGTTTTCAACAGTTCTTTCATAATTATTTATTTTTATTATTATTAATTTGCAGTGAAACTTACAAAAGCTGGATATTGATGGGACTATTTTGTTTTTCCATGTCTCGCAGGTTTTCTGTCATTGACAGAAAGTAGTCTTACCATTTTTCTATTACCTTCTATTATCTACACAAATGCTCTGAAAATGATTAAATTAGTTTGTCTTATTTTTGATATTTTTGCTGTCATTAATTAATCATATCTTTACCTTTCTAAACCTATCTAAACCTATATCAAAGATTTATATAGGTGACCTTTGTTCCAGAGAGTGCATGAGTGTCTGCTCTCGATTAGAGGAGTGTGTGAATAACGACAGCAAGCAGTTTGAGTACCTGAGGGATTAAGGCTGTGCTTATTATTACATGTATGTGCAACATTTGTTTGTTTGTATAATAAATGCAATGAGTATTGTGCCTGTTTTCTTTTTTCATAATTGTATACCTTTGTACTCCCCTGTATATTCCTTCAT